TTAATCGTGATAATCGGCATAATCGCCAAAGCCCCAAAACAGACAATTAATCGTGATAATCGGCATAATCGCCAAAGCCAAAGTAAAAAAAAACAAACACACACACAAAAAAAAAACCACAATTAATCGGTATAATCGCCAAAGCCCAAAACCAGACAATTAATCGTGATAATCGGCATAATCGCCAAAGCCCAAAACCAGACAATTAATCGGCATAATCGACAAAGCCCAAAACCAGACAATTAATCGCAATAACCGTGACTATTTTTAGACAATTAATCGTCAGCCAAATTTCAGAATCGTGACAGCCCTATTCACAGCCTCCGTGGTGTTTTTTTAAACAGCCACTGTGTGCTCCTGTCACAATAGGTGCTGACCTTTTCAAATGTCATGCATACATACATAATGCTCGTGTATCACTGATAATCTTGCCATATTTAGCATCTTTGGCTAAGCCACACTGACAGCCTCCTCCGTCTCTGGAGGACTGAGCGCATCAGACCACACCATCTCGTTGTCTGAGGTGTTTCTCTCTGAGGCAGAGATTCAGTCGGACGTTTGACGGAGGAGATACGGAAAGAGTTTTGTCAGTGATGGATGCTAGAGAAGACTGAATGGAACGAGAGAGAGAGAGAAACGGAGAAAAATAAAGTCCGAGTCAGTCAAGCTGGATTTATTGAGACCTGTGAAAAAATAATCCTCGGACGTTATTCCGTTAAACAAAGCCATGCAAATGTAATTAGTTGTTTGGCAGATTAACAGTTGTTAATTGTTAAAGCATTAATCCACAAAAGACTGCATTACTGTGATTTTGCTGCGGTTAAGCGGTATTCCCTCTGTGCCAACAAATGACTTTTTACAAGTGCTTTTGTAAATTGGTGCTGTGGTCTAGCAGGAATATAGTGTGTGTGAGTGACCAAATAAAATTTGGCTTAAGCGATATCACCCCTCACTCTTACCTTTCTCCCCTCTCTTGACTGTCCTATCAATGAATGTGTTGTGTCTATTAAAAGTTTAATTAGATCATTCAAAGTGGACTGTTACTTGAATGTTAAATGACTAAACAACTTGGTCCACACTTTATGGACTTAGGAGCCGTTCACACAGAACGCGTCTTTGTGTCTAAAAACATGAGACGCAGTGTAGGGCTGCACGAAAAATCGCATGCGATATTTAACGTGCATCTTGTCAGTAGAGCCATTCTGTAATGGCCGACAAGCTGCGCAAAACATGCACAAAATATGATCGTGGTTTTGCGCAGCTTGTCAGTGAACAACGGCTCTGAGTAGTTAATACTGCTCAATGTGAAAGCCCACAGGTGATGGAGATTTACCGCTGATTAAAGAACCGGCTTTACTGACAAGATGCGCGTTAAATATCACTTGCGATTTATCGTGCAGCCCTAACGCAATGCTCAGGAATGGTTTTATAAAAAGCACAGTGCAGAGTGCCTCCTCCGCCATGTTGCCATGCCTACTTGCTACTGTAAACAAAGCTAGCAATGCTTGCCTCCAGGCTCTTCTGATTGGTCCACTGTTTTGGAACTGACATTGATGAGCGGAGCTGCATGTAAAAGTTGAAATTCTTTTAACTTGACATGGCATATAAAAAAATGCAGTCCTCATGTATGAGACGCTGCAAAAACGCAAGAACAATGGTCATATGCATCCATCTTACACGTGTCT